TCCCCCCTCTTATAACGAAATATAACGATTATAGAGATCATAACGAAAAACAAACTTTTAAGAAAAAAAAACAGGGACTAACTTTGAATGTAAAAATGGATTCATTAACCATTGGTAAGTTGGTAATGATTTATATCCTTTGTTAGATTCATTTTAGAGCAGTTTTGACAATTTTATGTTGAGGTTGACCTTTTGCCGGAATTTCCCCTAAGACAGTAAAGAGAAACTTGAGAAGAATATGGAAAAACAAACTTATTTTGCTATTTGTGGTTTGTAGGAGTTCCTCAAGGCAGCTGAAGATGTCAAGAACTTGAAATCCAAACCCACTGATGCCGAGATGCTGGAGTTGTATGGGTTGTATAAACAGGCAACTATAGGAGATGTGAACACAGGTAACACATACATGTACATTACTGCAGCCAGTAGACTGTGTGTATGTGTGTGTGTGTGCATAAGAGAGATAGATATAGTAGGTAGACTTTGTAGCCTTGAGAGAATGTGTGTCCTTTAATTCAGGCTCGAAACCTAAGGAAAACGCAACGCTGAACTGTCCGCGACCTTCATACACTACATCATGCGCATGCATGACCTCATTGTGACCTTTAGCATAGGTTACACACATATACTACAGACTTCCGTTTTATAATACTGTCAACTGTTTTCTATTGTAGACAGACCTGGGATGTTAGACATCAGTTTTATAATACTGTCAACTGTTTTCTATATTGTAGATAGACCTGGGATGTTAGACTTCACAGGGAAGGCAAAGTGGGATGCCTGGGATGGGAGGAAAGGTGAGAGACATGAGCCACATTTGAATATGCCGCACCTTTTATGCTAACCAAAAAAGAAAAAAGAAAGAAGTGGACACTGTCGATTGTAAATTTTAGCATCCCAATGGCTAACTTCTTTAATATGGAACAGAATCAACATCATGATGATGAATTAACATGATGTTTAAGAGCATGTAATTTGGCCAGTTACAAACAGTTATAGACAACAGGAATGATTTTATAATGAAATACGTTTTGTTGCCTCTTGTGACAAAATGACAAAGGAAATAATATTGTAAAAAGAGTAAACGTTTTTGAACCTTACATGAAAGAGTTAGTCTGGTGATCAAGGCCCTTAATGAAGGGCCAGATTTAACCTCCTCAAAATTTTTTTTTGCCAAGAAGAATGATCACATACAAACTCAAAGGTTGTTGAAAGGTTGTGTTACCTGCAGTGTGAGTTTGAAGTGATTTATTCAAGATTCCAGTAAGTGCTGGGTAAACAGTGTCTTTTATTTCCTCATTTCCTAGGCATGTCCAAGGAGGATGCAATGGCATTTTATATAAGTGTGGCCAATAACCTGGTGGAAAAATACGGCATGATGTAAATGGTGAGTGACCTGGTGACCTGTGCTGTGACCTGTGCAGTAACCTCATTATTGAACTGTAAGTGTGGCCAAGTCATGCCAAATGTTGAAAATTGGAATTTTACTCTCTTTGTCAGTCTGTTTTGAGAAATGGCATTGAACTTGGATCATATTTTGATTTTGATTTTTTTTTTTTTTACTGTGCTTCCCCACAGTGTGATAGTTGTCTTCTATGTGACACAATGATTGTGACAGAGCTGGCACAACTTACACAGTCAGCCAGTGCTCAGCCACATGTAGCACAGGGCCCCGTATCTCGAAAGCTTTGCTATGATGCGCACGGGTGCGAGCATGGCGATTCCGCGCTATTTGCGAGTGCAATTGCACCCACCTGCTATCTCGAAGCCTTAGCAAACCACAAAATGTTTTTTTTTCACCATGATGCTTATCTAGAGGTTGTTTTTATTTATAAGAATATCATAATTATAAATACTGATATTTGAAGTGTTTGACACCAATAAAATGTCAAAAAACAATTCAATAAGCGAAGCTTGGACTGACACAATTACTGACACATTGGTGAGGAGTGTTCAGTCTCACAATAATAGACATTGTGGAAGGTCATGGTGCATCCGAATGCTTTGTTTCTGCAGACAGTCTGCTTTTTCATTTTGTGTAGAAAATGACACTAAAATTTATGATTATTATCAATAGACTACACAGATGAATTATATTCATCATAAAATATAAAATGATGTATGAAATGTTTAATTTTGAAATTTTAATGCATAATAAAACATGACTTTAGCATTCTTCACATGAATATTTATCACAACTCTATTATTATAAAAATTAATGGGTCATCTACATGTAAACATCATTTAACTTCAAAGGAAATGGTCAGACAGTGGTCTCTCTATTAGTATAGCCAGACGTCTCCGACCACACTCTTTAGTAATAATTTTACCAACGTAAGTCATTCCTACCCTGTAATTAAGAGCATTTACCTCTAGCAATAGTTGATTGTTCAAATAGACTATATAACCTGTATGTATTCTCTGAGAGAGGTAGTAGTAGCTGTAGTAGTGGTGGGAGCAGTGTTGCTAAATAAAACCTGGGAAAACTAAAGGAGTGTTGTGTTCCTTCCTGGCTGTGAAATATTTACTGCAAGTTTTTCTATCAGAGGAACCGAGGTTCAATCTATTATAAGCTTTCATGTTTTTGTTATATGTTTTGTTATATGCTATAATGACTAGCAACCCAAACTTGCCGCCACGTTTAATTACATGAAAGACACATTAAAATGACAAATTATGCATACGCAGAGGCCATTGCGACTAGTTTGTATCGCCCCAAATAATAGCCTCGAAACTAATGGTGATTTCGCCATTAGTACACGGCTGCAATTTGCGAAGCTTTCGGGATATGGGATAGTGCACGCTCGCCATGTAGCCAGCAATTTCCAAAGGGGGGTGCCATTTCCGAAAAAGTGGACTTTTTACAATGATATTTTTGTGTGTATAGATCAATTTTTATCCAGAACCTTTTCCTGACAAAAAGGGCAGTCCTTTCAAACCTCTGGGGTCAGTTACACATGGGAATTAAAGCTTATAAAGAGGTCTTAGAGCGCATTCTCAACGAATTAAGCCAGGCTTTACAAAGCCGGTGACCTAAAAATGGCGGACGTACATGAAAGAAAAACCGCCTAATCTTTTAATAGTCTCTCCGCCTCTCACACGCCTCCCCACACGTCGTCCCTGCGGGGTACAGTAATTAAATCTCGGCTCCGAACATTAATATTTCCGTGAATATCTCTGGTGATATTATCTCCGTAGATAGTCGATTCATTGCTGCTCTACGGGCCAAATTATTCCTTTTTCGTCTCTGTTTTCAAAGATAATAGAACAGAAGAGCTTTTTTCCTTCGATCGCCTTCAGCCGCCATGCTTTCTTCACCACGAGTTTAACTGATGAGCATGCGCACTTAATATTTCTCAGGTAGCTTCCGCATGGCGAACGGAGACGCGATTTAATTACTGTACCCCGCAGGGACGACGTGTGGGGAGGCGGAGAGACTATTAAAAGATTAGGCGGTTTTTCTTTCATGTACGTCCGCCATTTTTAGGTCACCGGCTTTGTAAAGCCTGGCTTAATTCGTTGAGAATATGCGCTCTTAGTTTTTAGACAAACACATTAGTCTGCTTGACATAAGGCTGTATTCCCAGAGCTTTTAGATCGATCTATCCCCGTGGGGAGTCTCACTAGATTACTGTCAGATAATCCGGCTTAAATGTCCATCCCACCTACTACAAGCTGTTAGGGGGTAATTAACTTTCGTGTCCGCTTGGCTGACAGCTATTTAGCGTGAACCCCCAGGGAGTTAGGTCGATCTAAAGTAGATCGATCTAATCTCTGGAAATGGGGTCTAAGGCTGCTATACTTTTCTTATTATGAAACATAAGAGCTTTTAATTTCATTGAACAATTAGTCTGGGTTCCCATACCTGGGTCAATCTAACAGGATTGATTTATCTCCAAGGAGTTTCTCGCTAAATTACTTTTAGCCTGAGATGTCTGGCACGCCTACCAAAGCTGCTTAACGATAATTAATTACCCCATAGCAGCTTCAGTAGGTGTGGTGGACATCTAAGCTGCTTAAGTTGATTGCAATTTATCAAGAATCCCCTTGGAGATAGATCAATCCAAAGTTTGTATGATAGGGTCTGGGAATGGTCCCTTACTGATTTATTTTTATCAAGGCTGACTAAAATATTGGCCTTAAAGTTTGGGCCAGTTTCTGAGCATAAGACAATAAAACTGTTCTATTATGTCCAGGTAATGGACACAGTGACCACTGACACTAGACAGAGATAGAGATAGAGATAGGTAGAGATGGGTCAGTGTTGTCTCCAAATCAGATACTCTGATCTTACTGAGGTGATGTGGTGACACTCAATTACTTCGGGTTTTTTTGATGACACAATGTCTTCCTTTGAAATCTTTAACCTTTCTGGTGCCATGACTGCAGTCTTCAAATCACACTATTGTAGACTTCAGTGATAATAATTATTTGTATAGTTTAACATGTCTGTTTTATTGTTTTTAAAAGCATTTTTTTCTCCCCCAGGCATCAATATCCAGTCTGTTACCCATGATTCCATAGAAGATGCCAGGACAGCCCTGAAGCTGTATAAGAAATATCAGGAGCTCTCTAATGAAGGAGGAGATAAAATCAGAGAAGCTCTTAAAGAGATGTATGAAAAAGGGCGCCAACTTTCATGGAAAATACCAGAAAGTGAACAGTGACTTTAGCTTTAAATTAATAAACGCTTTATTTTACTGATGGCTAGGGGGCTGCCTTTAATCTGTATTACAAATATTAGCGGCTCTCTTTGATGGCAGAGATAAGATAAAAGATAGTCAGGAGATATATCCATTAGAAAAAGGATGTAAACTATCATGGAAAAGTCCTGAAAAAGAGAAATGATTCAAGCTGTTTTGAACAGAGAACTACCGTGCTCTGTTGAGGATATGAGCACTGCCCAGATAAGAATTACAAAAACTTGTTTTTATCTTGATAGAGATAGAGGGTCCATTTTTTTTTTTTTTTTAAACTTTAGGCCACACTTTTTTATTTTTATGGATGACATCCCTGGGAACGCCGAAATCGGTGCGAAAAAAAAAAAAACAGTCAAAAAAAAAATTTGNTGGCCCAATACACAAGATGACTGGACAGGTGGAACACCTGGAACACATTAAAAGGGCCCATGGCCAGCAATTTCAAAGGGGGTCTTTTTTTTTTAAAAAGTGGACCTTTCACCCATGTACCTAGCTCAAATTTTACCCAGAAAGGACCTTTTCCCTAACTGAACAGGTGGTTCATTGAATACCCCTGGCTTCGTACATGAAACAAAATACTTCAGTCAGCACTTGGTGCCAACTTCTATCAAAAGGATTTCAGAAAAACTTGCTTCCACATGATTCCTTAAGGCTTTAAAGTAAATATCAAATTCTCAAAACAATAACTCAAGTAAGGAAAATATACTGAAAATGCTCCAGTAAAGAAATTAATTTACTGCAGTTGTTCTAAATTGTGAAAACTATACTCTTCAAAAAGTCCTTTAAAGTTCACTAAATACCTACCAAATGTACATAATGCTCAATAAATATACACTGGACAAAATAGAAGAAATAAACTTTCAGCTTTATACAACAAAGCTGTCTATTTGCTGGGAAGGTAATACATGTGGTTTTGTAGAGCTTTCCATTTAATCTAGAAATATAAGAAAACAAGACATTCTGCATGAGAATACCTGTCCAAGCGGCAGATCAGCATCTGCTGCCAGCGTCTGTAGCCGCTTCAACGGAGACACAGCCTTTATAAACCTGACCATTGCTGGACTGCAGTCTGGAGGTAAAGATTCTAGTAACTGTCTCTCCGGCACCATAAGAAGTAATCCGTGATAGGGCCTGGGTTTAGTAAAGATAGAGGTGAGTGGTTTGGCACCTTGTGTACTACAAGTTTTGTTTAGAATACGGAAAAATTAACATTTCATGAATTAACAAATTAAGACATGCGTTTCTGACTCCTTTACAATCAAATTACAGGAGTCAAATTGCTTCAAATTATTCAGTGACGTTATAATGTTCATAACAGATATTATGAATTTGGTATTTCAATATGAAATAATTTAAAGGGTCACAAAATAATTTCTTTGCTACATGATGTACTAATTAAAATCAATGTCAGTAAATTCTAGTAATCTTTTTAATGGATGCAAAAAGGTATTTTGCTTGAACATCAAGTTCCTAACCAAGCACTCAACTTGCCTTAGAGCTTCAATGCACTTTTGAATGGCTTCAGGCTGCAAAGAAAACATATATCAAAGCTATAACCATAAACCAAAAGTTAGAAATAAAAGTAACTGTTAAGAATAAACTTCAACTGAAAATAATGCAGCTAAGTACGTAAATGCCACTCACTTTAAGCTTACTTTTTTTAGAGAGCATCCTAAAACTGAATCTGATAACATCTTACTCACGGCTTAAAAAATACAATATAATACAGCTTTAAGTTAGGTATCTTTTATGTATATACAAGTCATTCCCTATTTCATCTCTTTTTAACAATGAGGTTTACCTCTATTTTCAGCTCAGGCTGTAAAATGTTGTGCACCTTGTGAGGTAAACAAAAGCTGACATATATCCACTTGTTCACATACAGACTCACAATGCCAGAGTTGCCCAGACTGAACAGAAGGAATGAAGGACATAGGTTAAAGTGTATATCAATTAATATTCACATGTTATTGTGCATATTAGGACTAATTCTGAAGTGAAACATGCACGTTTACCAATGCCATTGAGCAAATTCTACGCTCACAGTAAATTTTTAAAGATAGAAAACATTTTAATAAATTGTGAGAAGAGATGAAAAATTGTTGTGATGGTTTGTTTCACTCAAAACTAATAAGTTCCATCTGGAAAAATCTTATGAACATCCTTAAAACTCCTCCACACGGTCTTAATTTGATTAAGAGGCAAATATGTCTGCAGAGCTTACTTGTCATACACAGCTTTGAGGTCTTTGGACAGTTGGCATTTGCTCCCCTTGGCTACCATTAATTTGAACGGATTCTCATAAGAATCTGAAATTAAAAATAAAGCATTTTATTCCTGACACTACTCAAGTAGTAAACAAGAAAAGTTGAATTAAGATGTATACATAATTATGACTAGTATACAGGTCTGTCTTAAAGAGTTTGGAAATAGTCAGAAAAAAATTCACACAATGATGGGTTGGATCTGTTCTGGACAATGATTTGACTAAAATGGCTAACATCAAAGATATCATGATACCTGTAATAGAGGCTTTTCCACGGTCACGTGACTTCCGCTAAATTATCCGTGGGAAAGCGAGATTTTGCGGGATTTGAAGTTTCAGGGAGAAAGTGTGGAGTGTACACGACGGACGCCATATCGAGGAGTGCTCATTTCAATCTGAATTTTCAAAGTTTCGTAACATGTTAACACCTGATTTTTTTCGAAAACACATTCATGGGAGCAGTTGGAATAGAAATTTAGCAGAAGTACCTGATGACTTTTCAATGAAAGAACTAAAAACGTACCTAATCGACAGCAAAGATAGGACATTCGGTACTTTTGCAGTATACCCCCCCACCCTGTAACTTCCTGAAACCTTCATTTTTCAAACATTTTTT